AGGGGGGGGGGGGGGGGGGGGATGAGCAGGGCCCTGGTACTGCATTGTCCGATGCCAATGTGGCCGAAAGTGTGCGTGATGTACGGTGCAATGCAAATATTCGGGAAAGGAAGCAAGACAGTGTGCGAGAAAAATATATATGTCACGGGAGTTGCCTTGCCAAAACCATGACATGGCAAAAGGTGTGCGCGATGCTCGATTGCAATGCACAGATCCTAGAAAATCAAGGCAACCATGGGTTTTGCGATGAGCAAGTGACCGAGGCATTGATTCCTAATTTTTTTATGGCAGCATCACAAATGGAGTTCGAGGACGCAAATCGGGTTGACATTGATAGATGTCAGCGGTTGGGGCTGTTCTTGCTATTTAGCTGATTTTGGTACTCGAATTTAGTAAATATTAGACCATAGGAAAGGCACATGATGGCTGTTAATGTTGTAGGATTGATTGAGGGGGTAATTTTGGATAGTTTCTAGCAGGAGAGGGTTGAAAAACTTAATCAGCGGTTGAGGTTGTCAACTGCAATCCGAATTTTGGCCTATTTATTCTAAGTATTGGACATTTAGAAAAGTGGGCTGAGAAGAGGAAAGGAAGAGGCGATGAGGCAGCAAGATGTGCTGGCCCTTCACACAATTTTGTAACGTGTTTCTTTATTTTGATTGAGAAATAAAGGCCCCGTTTGAACCTCATTATTTTGAAAAAATATATTCTTAAACAGTGATTTGACATCATTTCAATCACATATTCTTCAATAAAATAATATTACACACAAATCTAAAATTTTTCTTTATTTTTTAATCACACATTTTCCATGAATTTACTATTCCAAAATACATTTTTCAAAAATAATGTAACTCAAACACACTCAAAGTAGGGTCGGTACCCGTAAATTCATTCAATTTTCTTCGTGTGTTGCTTCAATATTCAATTTTTTGCATACTTAATCAATTTTTGCTTGTTACACTAAATCGGGAGTGTCTAAGTGCATGTTGGCTGGTCTTGAGTGCTGGAAATCTCAGCGGATCAGCCCAGTGACACTTACCATATAGAGTTAACGAGTCCAATCCCGACCGTGGTCCAGGCATCTTGATTAGGGTGACATCGAAATCTGATCACGATTAATTATAAATAAATAGAAATAGCTGATTGAGTTCACACTCAAAACTCAAAACTCTCACGCTTTGCTTTGAAAATCTGCGGATTTCTGTATCCTCCATTTCAGTAAATTACCAAATACAAAGTCTTTATTTTCCGGGACTCTTTTAACTTTTGTACAGAGCCAGTCCCCGTGCTCACATGTGCTCAAGAATCCTCTTTGAAACTTCAAAATATTTGGTTTTAAATAATACTAATAGTTGTGATTAATTTAATAAATTATCGATATTTCGTTCTACGTCTTTTCAGTATTGCATACGAGACGATAAAGTGATTCTAAAAATGGCAAGACATGACCATGGATCTGAGTTCTATTTCTGCTCGTAATCAAACCAGGTTGTATCATTTGTGAAAATAACTACTAGAACCAGGCCAAATCAAATTTAGCCAAATTTATAGTTAATCAAAATGGGATAAATTACTTCTCTATCTTCATATGGCTATAACTCCTTTCTATATAGGGGTACTTTTAAGAACCATCCGGTCAAAAGACCAATTTTTCACGCTGACCAAATTTTTTTTGCCATTCACCAAAAGAGCCTTTTGAAGAGTAAATGTCATTTTTGCCCTTATTATGTGTTGTAATTACAAAAACATATCATTTGCTCAAAAGACAATAATATCGTCTTTAAAAAATTTAATAAATCTAAACGATTCCACTTAAATTTCAAAACGAAATTACTTTCCTTATCAGATTCTCCAACATAGTTAAAAAAAATTTCTCTTCTATCTACTTGAACATTAAAATCTCAAAAAAGTATTAAAGGCTCAACAAAAAAATATTACTCATAGTCGGCACTTGAAATTAATAAGTATAAATACGTATTTTTAATTTTATTTTAGTTAAATTAGTACATAGTTTGAATATTTAAATCTTATTTCATCGTATGATCTTAGAAAAATAAAATATTACAGTCTTAAACGGATTTATAATTTTTTTTAGCAAAAACGAGGAAAAGAATTCATCTATTCAGATGTAAAATGAAGAAGACAGCCGACCAGAAGATCGGGCCGACTGTTAACATCCGGCCCGGTCGTTCGAGTCGAATGTTAACAGCCCGGCCCAGGCGTCCGGGCCAAATGTCCACATCCGGGCCTTTTTTTTTTTGTCATTTTATTCTCATAATTACAAATTTTTTAATAAATGATATTTCCTAATGCAGATATGTGATCAAATGCTGTCCCGATTTGTTATTTTGGTGAATTTGAAAATAATGAAAATGATCGATAGGTGTGGAAATGGACGAGTGAAAAACATGATTGTACTACAATTGTAATAACGTCAAGTACATTATATGCAGAAATGTACAATGAGATACAGAACTTATTGAAAGTCGATCCCTCTGAGTACGACATGGAATTGGGAATTCTAATGGGCGGCGAGTATACATCCATTTCAATTCCACCTATAATAGTTACTTTTGAAGTTGAAATGAAGGTTTTAATTGAAATGAACCAGAAACGTGCTATTCCTATTTGCATAACTTTGATGAAGAAGAATGCCCCCAAGAGTGAATAAGAAGATTTCGATGGAGGGGATCGTAATGTGAATGAGTTTTGGGACACAGTGGAAATAGTGCGTGATAATGTTGTAGCTGTTCCAAAGACAGTTGCTCCTCACCATGATCTCACTGTTACACATAGAATTTGCTCGGTAGTTCAAGACAACGAAAGAGATAATGACTTTACAAATGAGAATTTGATTGCTTTATCCCGTTTGAGACATGCGTCGAGTGGGAGCTCACAGGCTGGACCGAGTGCACGGTCCTCTAAATGTTCGCGTATAGTCCTCGATGATGAAGATTTGTATGTCGAGCAACAGTTTGACACGAAAAAAGATTTACAAGAAGCTGTTCACCAGATTGCTTTAAAACACAATTTTGAGTTTAAAGTAAAGAAATCAAACAAGTCGATTTACACAATTGTTTGCGTTGACAACAGTTGCCTTTGGCTTTTGCGAGCAACGAAAATGGACACGAATGAGTTCTTTGTGATTCGTAAGTATGCACGGGAACATACTTGCGAAGTGGGTATTCATCTAAATGATCACAGGCAAGCCCGATCGTGGTTCATTGATTAAGAAGTAATGCACAAGTTTCAGGACCCACGAACAATCTACAGGACCTTCGGACATTATTAATGACGTTCGTCGAGAGTACGGGGTGATCATGAGTTATTAGAAGGTTTGGAAGGCCAAAGAATGCGCGTTAGAGGACTTGATGGGTTCGACCGAGGAGAGTTATGTTAAATTAGCCAGGTATTTCTTTGTTTAGATGTTTATTTAATAGTTATTTCTAATGTTAATTATTCATTTCAATTGTTTAATTAATTATTTAATCAATTGTTTACTTAATGTCTAACTAATTTAATAATTAATTTCAATTGTTTATTTAATTATTTATCAATTCTTTATTTAATGTGTAATTAATTATTTAATTCAATTGTTAATTTTTCAATTTTTTAATATTGTTTATTTAATTATTTAAATTATGATTATTGTTTATTTAAATTAGTCAGATTTTGCTATAACATGGGAATAATTAATATTGGATCGACATTTTTTATTGAGAAAGATGACGAGAAACGCTTCAAGTGTTTCTTTATGGCCCTTGGACAATGCGTTCGAGGATTTCGAAACGCAAGATAACCCTTAATTCTAGTCGACGGTACAACCCTCAAGGCGAGATACGGGGGTAAGTTGATTATTGCAACATGTCAAGATGCTAACATCTAAATTTACCATCTTGCATTCGACATAGTTGAAGGAGAAAACAATCTGGCAATGTGTTGGTTTTTCACGAAGTTGAAGGAAGTAATTGGGGATGTCGAGAACCTTGCATTCGTAATCGACCAATGGCAGTCAATAATTAACGGTATCGCCGAAATCTTCCCCAAGGCACATCATGGTTATTG